GAGTAGACTGAAAGGTGATGTGATAGCCATCTTCAGATATTTGAAGGGCTGTCACATGGAAGACAGAGCAAGCTTGTTTTCTCATGCTCCAAACTACAACAGAGGAGATTCCCACTAAACATTAGGAAGAACTTTCTGATGGTAAGAGTTGTTCAACGGTGGAACAGACTACCTTAGAAAATGGAATAACCTAAAAGGGGGCGGGGAGTTAGGTGGAATTAACCCATTGCAGTGTGTGCTTGATAACACAAACATGATCTGCATTCTCACCACTTCCCTTTTTCTGATGTTTTACATGTGTTGTTCAGAAAATTAACATGATTTTAAAAAATGAATAATAATATGAATGGTATTGTCCTTTGATAGTGCCATTAACTGTGCCACTTCCTTCTTCTGTCTCTTTTCATTTTGCAGGCATTTCAGATGGCATTGTCACATGTAAGTCTCTTCTCATTGATTGAACTAACAATTATTATTGTTACTGCTGCTACAGTTTATTCCATTTTTCATCACTTTCCACAAAGATGTCTCAAAATGACTTCTAAATCTATAAAAGACCGAACAACTTGGCAGTCAGTTAAAAACCAAATACATAGAAAAAGTGTAATACTATCAGAATTCCTAGAAGTGTTCATCCTTCATCCCACCATTAATATAGAAAAGATTAATCCTACATAGCCACAGTAACACAAAAGCAACATGCAAAATAGGCCAGACACTATACCAAACTAACAACCAAAAGCCTTAGGGATGTCTTAGCCCGGCTCCTAAAAACCAGCAATGATGGCATCAGGTGTGTTAACCTGGGGAGTACAAACTGAATGTTTTCCCTCACATATGTTGTGCTGGTGGGCACAATTCAGAGTACTGGTTGTGACCAAGCCTCATACGTCCAGGGTATCTGAAGGATCATATCTCCCAATATGATCTTTTCAGATCTTCTGGGGAGGCTTTTCTCTCGGTCCCACCACCACCACAGACACATTTGGTGAGGACGTGAAACGGGGCCTTCTCGGTGGCTGCTCCCAGATTGTGGGAGACTAGGCTGCCCCCTGCTCTCCACTTTCCTTTCACTGGAAGGTGACTACATCCCTCCCCCCATACTGTAGGTCTTAGGCTGTTATGGCAGAGTTTTCTGAGGGTAACTGTTTTGGGTTGATTTTTTGTGGGGGTTTTTTGTATTTTTGCTTTTTGCTTTAAAATGGTTTTAAGTGTTTTGAAATAACAACTTATGGTTTTCTGTTGTTGTTTTTAATGGGAAATATATATAGCCTTGTTTGTTGTGCTTGCAGTATTTCGTGAAATGCAAAACTAACTAAATAAACAAACATTTATTCTTTTCTCTTTTGGCTTCAGTTGAGTACAGTCCCAGTCCTACTCCTCTCATCACTGTGACACATAAGCCAGAGGAAGACACGTTTGGGGTAAGTTGTGTGGGTTGGATGGTAGGGAAAGTGGATTTGTGTTTGTTTGTTTATTCATCAAATTTATAGCCCACCCTTCCTCCCCAAGGAGCCCAGGACAGTAAAAGAATTACACAATTTCAAAGCAAAGGCATTCTAAAGCAATCCAAATATTATTATAATAATTGCAATTAAAAAATAAAAAACAGCTACAGTTTAAACATCCTAAAAACAGTTTCAGGTTGTTGTTTTTTTAAAAATCTACCCATCCAACGAAAGGTACTCTTCAGTCACTAAATGCCTGAGTAGACAGGAAGACTTTAAAATTACCTGGGGAACCACCACTGAAAAGGCCATGTCACAGGTCATTGCCAACTGGGCAATTCCTGGTGGCCGCACCAACATCAAAGCTGGCTGCTCATAAGGTGTGAAATGGTTGGCACTGAGGAAGGAGTTTTAGGGAAGAAGAAGAAGAAGAAGAAGAAGAAGAAGAAGAAGAAGAAGAAGAAGAAGAAGAAATTGTTGTTGCTGTTACAGAATAGGCCATCCCTATTTTCATTGGAGAAATGTTGGAGGGTATGTAGTCTACTCTGAGTAAAAATTAGTTGCCATTGTGTGTGTCATGTAGAAAGCTAAAGCTGACCCTTTATTTCTGTCATCCTAAAGGGGTGTGTGTGCTTGTGTGTGTGCAGGGTCCGTTTCTGCAGCAGAGCTTTCTAACACACACCTCAACACACATTGGAAAGTTGCTGGAAACCACAGGAGAGGCAAGTGCTCTTGTGCTCAGGTCCTTCTTGTGGATTTCCCACAGGACTCTGGATGGGCACTTTGAGAACAAGATGCTGGACAAGATGCCCTGATTCAGTAGGCTCTTCTTATGCCCTTACACATGAACACGACTTCCCATCTTGCTGACGGCAGCCAGAAAGAAATGCAGAAAACAACTAGGCAGATATGATAGAGCAAACACATAGAAACATACACACACAACAGCAACCACCACATGTATAAATAAAAGCATGACGGTAATCCAAGGCTGGGTAAGACACTAGTCTGCAAGGAACAAAATCTCTCTTTATTTTATGTGATATGTAATTCATTTTTTAAAGGAAATGGTTGCCGGTTGCTGTTTTTTATGTATAAACAAGCAAAGCAAGTTTCAAAAAGCAGAATGAATATTTTCCCTAATGCAGAAGGAAGAACCCCAGAGAGAATGCTGTCTGTGTACTGAAAAGCCAGGAATAAATATTCTGTCAATATGTGCAGAAGGGAGCGGCCTCCTCTTGCCTCCAACAAAGCGTTCTGTTTTGAGCCAATCCTGCTGCTCTCTTCATCTCCGCCCCCCCTTTTCTCTGGCTTCATCTGAGGATCCCTCCTCCAGTGTTTTCATGGAGACGTGGTTGCTGTTTCTGCCCTTGATGATATTTCATGTTGCTGTCTTTGAATATTGTTTCTGGGCCGTTCCCCATACTATGTGGCAGAAAACTGGGTCTCCCTCCAAGTAGATGTTTGACCGGAACTTGCATCCAAATCCTTGCTCCTTGTCATAAGAACATAAGGCTCACCTTAGTGCAGGTTCCAGCTCTCATAGTGGCTAACCAGACCCCTATGGGAAACCTGAAAACAGGACCAGAGTGCAACTGTGATCTTCCTCTCCACTTGTGATCCCAAGCAAATGGTGTTCAGAAGCAATGCTGAGCTAGATGGGTATATGATTTTTTTTTGTAGTATGTTTTTATTTATTTATTTATCTTTATTTTTTACCAACAACCAAAACCCAACAGTTATACCCTCCCCCCCCCGGCGGCTGATACATTGAGTTTACATAATCAACAATAACATATTCAAATCGGCCATATGTATACATCTATATTCATTAACACTCTTCTCTCCACAAGGTTTACTTAACTTTTAACATTTTAATTGCCCCTAATTGTTCAAATCTACCCAAATAATTCAATATCTTCTCAAACCAATCCTCTTTCTCACTGACCTTAAACCCTTTCATTCTGTGTATCTTCACAGTTAGATATTCTAAAATTATAAAATTATTCAATTTTTTCCTCCATTGGTTCACCCTTAGCTCTTCTGCATTTTTCCAATTACTCACTATAAACTGTCTGGCTGCAGTTACCATCAATTTTACCCATTTACATTCCTCTTTTGTTTTTAACTCGGTGCTACTCAGGCTAATAAGAACCATTAATTTAGATATTTCCACCTTCCTACCCACAATTTCCGATATTTCTATACCAATCTGTTTCCAAAATCCATTAACTAATGGACAGTCCCACCACATATGACTGTACGTTCCCATCTCTCCAGATGGGTATATGATTTAACTCCACATAAAACATTTTCTGATGTCCTAAACCTGCCATCTCCTTGGGAGTCAGGCTGTTAGTACATCTACAGCAGTACTGTCTGTACTGACAGGTAATGGTTGTCCAAGATTTCACACAGGGGTCTCTCCCATCTTTTCCTAGAGATGCTGGGAGTTGAACTTAGGACTTCCTGCTTGCAAAGCAGATGTTCTACCCCTGAGATATGACTCTATTTATCTCCTTTCTCTTTTCCCTCTTTGTTCTCTTCTTTCTTTTCTGTAAATTCATTCATTGCTTTAAATAATGCGCACATATGGGCACAATGTTAGCTTGTAAATTTGAGTGCAAATTGCTTTAAGTGTTTCAGTAATAATATTCAACATGGCCTCTAATGCCTAGGATGTCCTTTACAGGTGTCCATAGCTGTTGGGCTTGCAGCCTTTGCCTGTGTCCTCCTGGTGGTCCTCTTTATTATGATCAACAAGTATGGTCGGCGATCAAAGTTCGGAATGAAAGGTACAGATCAATCTCTTCCTCCATCCACCAATGAGTTCTATTCTGGGAGACGTGTTGGGTGGGACAAGTTGGGGAGAATTATATTCATGCCAACTTTCTGACACTGGTTCTTGGTTTATAAGTATGTTCATGCTGGAAATGTGATTGCGTATTTGAAACAGGCATTTGTAACACTTAAATAGCACAAAATCGGGGATCTCTCATTTCATGGTGTTGTGATCCCTAGCAGAGCCCCCAGAAAAAGATGAATGGCTTGTGTGCAGTGATGGTCACTGCTATTAATTAATTGGTTTGTAATGTAGTCTTTGGTGGACTTCAGATTTTAAGATTGCTTGGTAGCGAACAGTGTTTGTTCCACTGACAAAGTGAAACGTTGAGTGATTCTCTTCTTGAAGCCTAAAACTATAGAGCAGGAAAGAGGGACTGATTGTAAATACGATGAAGAATGTCACTGGGTTCAAGGTCGAATCGTGGACTGGACTCCCAGGCTCTCTGTCCCTTCTCTAAGATTAGGGGCCGTACCTAATTTACACAAAGCTGATTTCTTTTCCATTGGATCTTCTGATGCTTATTGAGGCTGCAGGCAGAGTTGGGTGAAGTTGCTGGACCATGGATAATCCTAAGTAGACATAATAACAAAGGAAACCTGTCTTATCCCATGTTAGACCACTGGTCCATCTTGCTCAGTGCTATCATTCTACAATGACTGTCAGCAACTCTCCAGGGTTTCAGGCAGGGAACATTTCCCAGCCCTACCTGGAGATGTTGGGGATTGAACCTGGGACCTTCTGCACACAGAGCAGATGCTCTACCACTGGGCTACAGCCCTTCCCCATTTGCTGTCATGAGGTCTGGAGTGCAGCTGATGCTTTTTATCCTACTTAGAGCAAACGGCCCTTTCTAGGCTCCACCTTCTTCCTGGAAGAGTCTTAACAGGTTAGTCCTCTTGCCTGGAACTAAACCTACCACTAAGGAGGAGGAAGGATATGGAGGGAGAGGGAGTTGAAAGCCAGTGCCACCCCCTGGACTGCTTGTAAGCAAGAAGGCAGGCAGGCAGGTGGGTAATGGCTGAGAGCAGACTGAGGTTGATGGCGTCGTGACCCAAATGGACTAGCACCCACTGGGTTGAGAGTTTTTGAAGGGGAGGTGCAGGACTGGGGAAAACTCATTTATATTCCAAATTCACCCAGTAGGAGCTCTGTATCCACCACTCCACACACTGTAGCTATCACCACAAGTATCTATCAAGGACCAGGGTAATGGATATTTTACTTTTTTACTTTCAAAGTTTAGCTGTGATTCCTGTGCATTGTAGGGGGTTGCAGTAGATGACCATTGAGCTCCCATCCAACTCCACCGTGCTTTGATTCTGTGATGGAAGATTCCTAAGCTGCCTTGTACAGCAAAGCTCCCTCAAGGCGGCTTACAGGAAACATTAATGGCAGTAAAATACAATCATAATTTAAAGCATCAGCTGAGATGTTTGAAAAGCCACCACATACGTGTATTAATTTCAACTGGCTAATGAGAGCAAATTTAGAATGGACAGTTTAAAATGAGCAGCAAAATGAAGCATTAAAAAGTTTGTCTTAATACCATGGTGTGATAAATATGGAGGCTGAATAAATTCTCTCTCTCTCTCTCTCTCTCTCTCTCTCTCTCTCCCTCTCTTTCCTTCTCTCTCTCTCTCTCTTACACACACACACACACACACACACATACACCACTCACTTATTAAACCTAAACTGTGAATGACAACTGAAGCTCTCCACAAGTTGTGAGATTGGCCAGTGTCTTTCATGATCCTCATTGAATGTGTGTGCAGTATTCAGCTGGTGTTGGGTCTTTTAACAAGGAATAACCGTTCTTCCTTTGATAAGCTCTTGTACCAAGTTGTACTTTCCATTACTTCTCTCGTAAATCATAGCCATAAATGTCCCTCTGCAGAGTTAATTCTTTTTTCTTTTTTAGAGCCTTTTTATCGGTCAGGTTGTTAAGCAGAATCCGCAGTACATGAATGTGCCTCAACCCTTGGAGAGCTCCTTTCCCCCTTCCCTGATTTATCTAGTCGGGAGCTCTGCGTAAGCACAAGGAATGACTGAAAGTTTCCTATTTATTTTGTGGGGGCATTTATCCATGCCACAGCATCTTTGGGACACTTAGCCACGGAAAGTAATTGGGAAGCATTTAAATTGGATACAGAACCCACAAATTCCCAAATTGTTGTTGCATGCACAGTTGGTTTAATTGCGCACCATTCCCTGTTCATTAGTACTGAGTTAATGCCCATCTGAATCATTTGTTGGCTTAACAGCGCACATTTCAATTTGCCAAGCTGGGTCAGGCAAATAAAAAGGCTTCCTTCCTCAGCAGGCCAAGTGATGGCCACTGTGGAGCATTATACTTGGGGCAGGGTTTGAAAATGTTTGAAAACTTCAGCTGGTCCATTATCCCACACTCACCTAGAGAAGAAAAGACTGACTTAGAGATGACATGATAGCCATATTCAAGTATCTGAATGACTGACACATTGAATATCTTGGAATCTTAGAACTGTAGAGTTGGAAGGGACCACGAGGTTCCTCTAGTCCAGGAATGGCCAAACTTGGCCCTCTAGCTGTTTTGGGACTACAATTCCCATCATCCCTGACCATTGGTCCTGTTAGCTAGGAATGATGGGAGTTGTAGTCCCAAAACAGCTAGAGGGCCAAGCTTGGCCATGCCTGCTCTAGTCCAACCCCCTGCAATGCAGGATTTTATTTTTTTGCCCAGCGTGGGGCTTGAATCCATGACCCCGATATTAAGAGTCTCATGCTCTACCAGCTGAGCTAAGATTGAGCCACCTTGTTTTCTGCTACTTCAGAGAGTAGGACCCAAACCAGTGGATTCAAATTACAAGAAGGGAGATTCCGACTAGTCCTTTCTGACAGTAAGAGCTGTTCAACAGTAGAACGGACTCCCTCAGAAGGTGGTAGACTCTCCTTCATTTGAGGCTTTTAAACAGCAATCAGGTGGCCACACGTCAGGGATTCTTTAGCTGTGATTCCTGCACTGGACTAGTAGGCCATAGTGAACACATATTCCTAATATTTAAATTGGGGGGTCCCCAACCTTTCGGGGCCGGGGCCACATTTGAAAATCTAAGAAACTGTGATGTTCTGTTTGCAAAACATATGCTCTACTATTGTCTTTCCCTTAAAAAAAAAGAAAGAAGCAGTTACTACTCCTCTTGCTTATCTCAGTAATCCCTGGATATTACAATAATTTATTCCTGCCACCTGAAGAATGAATGGAATGTCTGCTCAAATACACCACCTCTGAACTGAGTGGCTATTTGTGGGGCAGTGTGAGATTTCAACTCATCTTTAGCTTTAACCTACAAAGCCTAATTCTTGGATTGAGGTTTCTATGGAGCAGCCTTCCCCTATATGTCCCAGCCCTTTGTCTGAGGCCCTTCAGACATTTGGTTGGAAGTTAGCAGAGACAAAGCCTTCTCTGTATTGGCCCCTGGTTTGTGAAAACACATTCCCCAAATGTGTTCTCCTGCTGCTGTGACCGCTCTGTCCATTAAAATTCACCCATTCTCCTGGGACTGATAATAAATGGCATTGATCTTCCGCTTAACTCTTGTGATCCATGTGCTTAGGTTTTGGGTTGTATGGTTTTATGGTGGTTAGTTAAAGTCTTTTTGTATTATTTTGAAATTTAGTTGTTAGCAACGTAGCTGCCCAACGTACTGGAAAAGTAGGACATAGAGGGTTCAGATATATCTAGAAGTTCATGAATAGGTTAGGCCTGTGACTAATGCTAGTTCTACTCAGATAAGACCCATTGGAAACAATGGATAGTACTTGCAACAATTAATTTCAGCGGGTCTACTTGAGTATAAATGGACATTGATACAACTTTAAATAATGACTTTTTAATTCATTTTTAAAGGTCGTCAATCAGTTTGATCTGAATGAAAACCCTCTCATTCTGAGGCCTTAGAAACCTTAAACTTATGAGATGAAAGGAGATGTGGGGAGGGGGAAACCATGGAAAAAGAGGAAGACTAATCAATGATTGCTTGCAACACATTCTGTGATGTTTTAGGAATTACATTATCATTGGCTCATTTGGTATTCGTTTCTAATAGCGCCGATCAGAGCAGCTATATGAATGTGGATGTCAAAAGTACTTGCAGAGCCGTTCTGGTGTAATTTAGAATCAGTTAATAGGCACTTAAAGCAAAGTGGCTGCCTATCTGATTATGACTAGGGGTCCTTAATGCTTTCCCCCATAAACATATGGTAACTGTCTTCTGAGCTGATAGCCCAACAATGCCAGCATTCTTAAAAAAAGAAAAAGAAAAAAAGCGGACCAACTCTTGCAATGTCATCTTGGAGACCTGCGGAAGAGGTCTGGCAGAGCCAAGCTGGAGCTGTGGATATCTGTTACCACATCTGGGTTTGCAGTGGGTGTTTGCCACCTCTAAGTGGCTTGTGTTGGACTCTAGAATTGCAAGATCCTGATTCAGAATAAGCAGAAAGTCTGTCACTGTTAACCAGGCAATGATAGAAAACCTATACTAGGTCCAGCCATTCCAGAGACATTGACCAACTGCAGGGGGCCATGCTGCAGACTCGTAATCTGGTGAACCAGGTTCGTGTCTCCGCTCCTCCACATGCAGCTGCTGGGTGACCTTGGGCTAGTCACACTTCTCTGAAGTCTCTCAGCCCCACTCACCTCACAGAGTGTTTGTTGTGGGGGAGGAAGGGAAAGGAGAATGTTAGCCACTTTGAGACTCTTTTGGGTAGTGATAAACCGGGATATCAAATCCAAACTCTTTTTCTCCTCCTCCTCCTCCTCCTCCTCCTCCTCTTCTTCTTCTTCTTCTTCTTCTTCTTCTTCTTCTTCTTCTTCCTGTTCTCTAATGTATGCCAAATCCCAGATAGCTCACTAGACTGGGTTGGGGGGGGGGTTCTCACATATAGAGTGTCTGATGAACAGGGATGGACAAATTTGTCAATTTCTCCAAACTTCAGTTAAGATCTCCACAATTTTAAACCAGTTTGCAAAAATTTTCAGGAAACATCAGTGTGAAAATTCATCAGCGACTTTGTGCAAGTTTCATCTAATACTGTATAACATTTTTGTGTGCAATGTTGTCTAACCTACATGTTTTTTGCAAAGTGACTTTTCTTAACAGGATGCATTGCTGCATGTTGCTGTCATTAAAATGTGTGTCCTAATGCACACATTTCCCCAACATATGCATCTTTGTTCAAAACATTTGGTTGGAGAACAGCATCACAAAATTCAAAGCGGATAGGCCGGTCACCTATGAGTCAGAGAACTCATTCCTGATTAATATTCCTCCAGAGTGTATGTGAATGTGTGTGTGAGAGAAGAGAGCTTGAGAGAGACAGTGACAGCTTTCCAAACTTGATATCTGAATTGCATTCAATATACATAGTTCCATCCTTGATCCTCAATTCAAAATGCGAGTTCTCGCTTGCATCGCTGTTGCCGGCTCTTACCTGGATTTGCTTTTGTGCTGTGTCGAGTGCGAAAGTTTTTTCTTCTTCCCGAAAGTCATCTGAGCTTTAGGGCATTCTGAACTTGTCAGGGTTTTGACCTTTCTGTGTTTGTATTGCCGTTGTTTTATTGGGTTTTAAAAGCCTCTGGATCCATTCTCTTTGCTCAACATTCCTTATTTTCACCTGCCTTTGAACCTGAGAAGTGGTTTCAGAGGGACTCACAGCCATAAGTGCTTTATCTCTTGCCAAATTGAAGAGATATCTATTTTGATTTCAGCATCGTAAAAGCTGCCTGGTTCCTTTTCTGCAGGTAGCCTGCCATCCATTAAAGAAAACCGAATCTTGGGTCATAAAAAGCAATAACCAAGCAGAATGTCCATGCAACCTCTCATAATTGCACCCCTATAGCAAAAAGATTGCATAGCAGGACCCAAAGGCTCTCCCAGCACGTCACCCCCTAGTCTTTTCACAAAACTTGGGCACAGTTTCACTGCTAGATCCAGTCAGGCTAAAGGCCCAACGGTCCCCTGTTAATTTCCACATTATATTTGAGAAAACTAATGGAATGTTCCACATGCTAAGCGCTCGTTTTTGTGTCAGTTGATTCCAGAAAAGAAAAAAAACAGTTTGCAGCCCCATTGACCTAGAACATTGTGCCAGCATTTACGTAACACAACAGTACATTGGTCAACATTTACGTAACACAACAAGTGCTGCAGCATGAAAAGAACATTAGAAAATGCCATAGAGGTGCTAGCAATATGATCAGGAAAGCTAACACAATCTTCCCCATGTCTGAAAGCACACTGAGTCCTGACCCTGTACTTACAATGTCTATTGGAAGATCACAAGCAGGACATGAGCTTAACAGCACTCTTCCCACTTGTGATTCCTAGCAGCTAGTATACAGAGTTATGCTGCCTCAAGACAGGGAAGGCAGAACATAGCCATTGTGGTTATCAGCAACTGATAGCTTTATCCTCCATGAATTTGGCTAATCCGCTTTTAGAGCCATCCAAGTAGGTAGCCATCACCGGATCTCATGGGAATGAATTTAACAGGTTTGCAGTTTTAACTGTGCACTGTGTTAAGAAAAAAGTTTCTTTTGTCCTGAATTTCCCAGTGTTCAGCTTAATTGGATGGCTCTGAGTTACAGTAGGGTAGAAATTCTTCCTATCTCAACCCTGTGCATAATTTTATACAACTGTGACATGTTTCCCTTACTCACCTTTTCCCTAAACCAGTGTTTCCCAAACTTGGGTCTCCAGCTGTTTTTGGACTACAACTCCCATCATCCCTAGCTAGCAAGACCGGTGGTCAGGGATGATGGGAACTGTAGTCCAAAAACAGCTGGCGACCCAAGTTTGGGAAACAGGGCTCTAAACTATCCTCTCCCCAAATTTTGTAACCTTTCCTCATAATACTACAACCCTTGTGTCATATGAGCTACAGACTTTAGGATGGATGTGATAACCATTTGTGAACTGCCAGTACTCTCTCTCATTGCAAGTGGGACTTGCTGGTGGCTGTGTGTCCTGTTCCTACCTTACCTGGCTGATGCTGTGTCATCCTGGTGAGTTGGAGGAGCTGTCCAACAGGTTAAGGAACAGGTCTGTGGCAAGGCTTGCTAGAGTGAAAGGAACTGGAGAGAAGAAATTGTTGCACTAGCAACAGCCATGCAACAACTCTGGAGTTTTGTGCTGTCCACCTTTTCCCTGAGACCCCTGATCTGGAGTATGCACAAATTCTTCCTTCCTTCCCCCAAGGCTTCACATCTCCAGATATTTACAGTGCCCTCTGGATTGGGCATCAGCTCAGACTTTTCACCGTCTTTGTTCTTGGGGACTTGGAGAAAATTGTGAACAGAAGGTGGACATCAGGTTCCCTAACTCCTAAGAGTTGGGGTGTCTTCTTGGGTAGCAAAAACTCTGAGCACACTAATGAACACCCTAACTCTTCTTGACCCCTGTCTTCTGCCTCTTCTGAGGACCAGGCCACAGCCAATTCTGATTTTAGGCAGAGGCTGGCCCAGACACATGTGATTGGATCCAACTTTAAAAATGCCTGTAGTTTTCTCATCAAATGAGTTTAGCTGTATGTCTTCCAGGAAGTTTGTCTTGGAGAGAACTTCTGTGGTCAGACTCTCACAGGAACCTCCATGATCGAGGTTCACAAGTGAGCTGGGAACTCTATTGTTAACGTGCATCAGGCAACGGCTTGACCTTGATTGCCTAATTAGTGTTGGAAAGATCTATAAAAGTGACACCACTGTCCTTTCCCCCAGCAGAAATGTATCCTGGTGTTTCTCCTTC